GTTAATAAAAGAAAGCATTGTGTAATTTATTTCCAGGGGTTTTTATTATCCCTTTCTATTTATTTAGCATATCTTTTTAATGTGATTAGATCTTTCTATAATTGCTTGCCCTGTAGGGTTGTGTGATATACTTATGCTTTATGTTCTTAATATGCAAAAACTGTTTCATTTTACTAGAGACATATGCTGGAGCATTGACAGTCTTAATTTATACAAGTATCCCCATAATGGCTAGGACTTCTAATAAATATAGAATCAGCCCTTTTGGAACTTAAAGCAGTTGCCCATTAAAATCCTGAATATGTAGCTATTATGGTGAACATATTTTTAATTTTTTAAGGTTGGTAAAATGAAACACATCCTTCCTCACATTGTACAGGGAACATCAATTTCTGGAGCCCCTAAATTTTATACTGATGCAAACAAAGCAAGAAAGGCAGCTTATTTTATTTTATCAAATGAAGCAGTTCTGTCATCCACAGCAGTATGGTTTTTCACATAGGAATTAAGTCCTTTAGTTGCTCTATGGAGGAGATTCTCCAATTCGACAGGTGATTGAACCAGATTTGACACAGGAGCCTGTGAGAGGAACCCAAGGCTTTTCCTGATGGCAAAGGGTTACCTTGCCTGTCCTGTGCCTAGTGTTGACCTTTCCAATGCCTTCTACATATTCCAGAAAGCTGGGGCCTTCTGTTTGGATTATCTCTGGAGGAAACATTATTCCTAGGAATGCCTTATTTAGATTACCTAATTTACCACAATTATAATATCTAACCTTTTGATTTTTCTTAAAGTTTTTAGAAATCACTTCTCCTATCCAAGTATCATCATCATAAGTGTGAGATCCAATTTCACCTGTATTTCTGCTCCATTCATCTATTGGTACTGATGTTGCCTTTAAATGCCTAATCACTCTTTTACATTCTGAATTAGCATTTTCAAAAGCCAAAAATTCAATTAATATTTAACTTCTGGATTTGATACCATTCTATTTACAGCTGAAGTTAATACTTAAAAAAAAAACAAAAACAAACAAACAAAAAAAAACAGTGAAGGCTTCTTTTAGGCCTTGTATAATTTAGTAAATGGTTCAGTATTCAGTCCTCTTTTCCTGATTCCTCAACCCAGTCCCAAGCATTCGGTGCTGTACAGCATAGAGCCAAGGTGTAGTCATCAGTTACAATTTATCTTTGCAAATCAGCAAACTGGCCCTCACTGAGACACCATATTTGGGAAATTCCCATACCTCTAGCTCTATTTCATTGTTCTGTGACCCTAGCTTCCTCTGTCCATCATGTTTTCCATTGTAACTGAGGACTAGCTTCCAATACTGCTATAACTGTTTCCACTCTTGTGTAATAATTCTGATCTGAGTGGTCCATGAATTTAACATCCCCTTTACAAAATGTGAATCCATACATGAAACTATTGCGTCCTTAAATCTCTTCAAATGCAGCTGCATTTGTGTAGCTGGGGTTTGAGAGTGTGTGGCAGCACTAAAAGTCCAAGCAAGTGTCAAGAAGTCTGACTTGGTATGGCAGTGGCCTGAGGAGGGGATCTGGGGAAGTTGGAAGCTCACAGGGAGAGGGAACCAGGCACCTGGAAAGCAGACTGGGCGGGGGGGGGGGGGGGAGGGCATGCAGAAGCACGTGTAGTAGGAAGTGAGGGACAGGGCCACCTGAAGGACAGAGCCTGCTGCTGGCGACAGCTAACTCCAGTAGCATTTGGAACCCAGGTGCTGTGTGGTTTGAGATCTGTGAAGTTTGTAGCCAGGCCAGGCAACAGCTGGAGGCTGTTATAGAGAGGCTGCAACAGGAAAATCCCAGACTCGATAAAAGCCCCCACCTGGGGTGGGGGGGCAGCAAGTTGCAGTTCTGGGGCTGCCTTGTGATCTCATGCCCCTGAGTTGGACACCAGATGAAGCATTCATCTATTCTTTATCAATAAATACTTGATCAGAGAAGCGATCAGTGACCCTCTCCTCCTCTCTCCCCCTTCCTCCTCCCCTCTTTCTCTCTCTCTGATCCAAAAAGGCTGAGAGTCTCTCTTAAGCCCATTCTGTCCTCAGCCCTCCACAACTTCTATGATTAATTTTGCTTAAAGCAAATTTTATTGTCAGTTTTGGGAGCATCAGAATGTGATCAACACAACACTTACACAACACTTACCCACAAGTAGGAGGCAGAGGGAGTTAAAAGGATAGCATGGGCTTTTCAAACCTCAAGGCTCATCCCCAGTGGTACATCTCCTTCCCAAACATTTCCACCTACTAAGAATCTAGTATTCAAGTCTGTGAGCCTCTCACCCATTCTCATTTAAACCATCAGTTTTTAAGTTAGTAATGCACATCATAAGGAAAAGCCTCTGAATTCAAAACATGTTTTAAAACTAATTATTTGACAATTTCATATATGTATATGATGTGTATTTTGGTCACATTTATTTCCTATTACTTTTGTTCCCCTTTCCTCTGCTGATTCCCTTCCTCCCAACCAAGCCCCCTTCTGCATTGTTTGATTTTAGTGACCCACTGAATTTCATTGGGTTTGCTTCCATGAGTGTGGCTTTTTTTCCTTTATATTACTTTACTCTCTCTTTAAAGACTTTATTATTTTTAAACCATACTTTTTTCTATTGACTGTGCCCATTTTCTTTCCTAAGCCAGTGCACATTTTTAAACACATTGTAATCTGTTTAGAGACTTTTTTTTTTCCATCTGGACCTGTCTTTACTGTGTGTCTCTTGTCTTTTCTGACTGAATGAGCCAAGCCTTAAACTGCTAAGTGACTTTGCACTGACACTAGCTCCTTCCTGATTGGATCCATGAGAACCAAGCTTTACATCCCAAGAGCCTGCCGGCCAAGAGCTGTGTACAGCTGGGAGCTGCATACAACTGCTCCAGCTCTAGGAAGCTGGTACCCACACTGTGTCAGGTGATTTACTTAGCTTGTTGTTTTTATTTAACATGCCAGATGCTCAAGTGCTTGCTGTATGGCAGAACCTCTTAAAGGAGCCATATCCATTTTTTTGTTGTTGTTGTTGTTTGTTTTGTTTTACAGCTTTCTCAGACCCTATGTAGAAATTCAAGATCCACATTGGACACCAAATGTAGTAGGCTTTCCTTTGGACCACCAACTAGTTTCCACATCATGGCATGGACTTATTATTAGTTAGGAAAGTACAGCCTTATCTTATGCTTGTCCCTCTATCTCTTATAACTTACCTTAACCTGTTTCTTTTCATCTACACTTTATCTTGGGGCTTTTTACCTTTCATTCTGTATATCTTACTCCGTGTCTGACTGGCTTTCAGCTGCCTCTCGTTCTCCCGGTTCTCTTCTCTTGTTCTCTCCTCTTATTCTCTTTCCTACTTATTGGCTCTGGCACCAGCCCCACCTATCCCTCTACTGCTTAACTATTGGCTGTTCAACTTTTTATTATAATAGTGCAATGCCTTAGGCAGGCAAGGTAAAACAGCAAGACATCTTTACATAATTAAACAAATGCAGCATAAACAAAAGGAACATATCTTTGCCTACTTTACCAAATATTCCAAAACAGTTAACCTTTTCTTTTTTATTTAATTTTAATTTGTTATTATTTTATATTCATGTGTGGTTTCTGATCTGTGTGTTGGAGGACAGGGGCCACTGGATCACAGTTCTCCACCAAGGGTTCCATTTTACCCTGCTGAGCCAACCACCTTGCTGTTTCAACTTTGAAACAGTTATCATCTACTTAGTAATTGTTTCATGAACAAACACTGAATTCATCTAGTCTAAAATCTCAAACTAATGCTTTTGGTTTTTGTTCTTTTGTGGGTTTTTTATTTGTTTGATTGATTGATTGATTGATTGATTGATTGATTGATTGATTTTTTTTGTTTTGTTTTTAGAGACAGGGTTTCTCTGTATTGATTTTGCAGCCTGTCCTGGAACTCCCTCTGTAGACCAGGCTGGCCTTGAATTCACAGACATCTTCCTACCTCTGCCTCCCAAGAGTTTGGATTAAAGTTGTGCACCACCAACGCCTGGCTCAAACTAATGCTTTAAAACTTTCAGGTTTGCCAAGCAGGCATGCTGATGTGAGCCTATAATTTTAGCATTGGGAGGCTCAAGGCTGAATCGTGAACTCAAGGTCACTCTGAGCTTTTGAGATCCAGTCTCTAATAAAATTAAATGATATGGATTTCAAGTTTCTAGAATAAGGATGTTCAGTTACTGAAAAAAATCTAGGCCAATATCTCAAAAGAAACCTGAAATCTTGAACCCACTAGTCTCAAGCATTTTTGTTTTGTTTTGTTTTGTTTTAGAGATAGGGCCTCACTGTGTTAACCCTTTCTGACCTTGAACTCACAGAGATCTGCCTGCCTCTGCTTCCTGGGTGCTGGGATTAAAAGCATGTGCCACCACTGTCTGGCACTCTGAAACATTTTAGATAAAGGATCTTAGCTATGCCATTTTCTTCCCAGTAAGGACTCTGGTCCTGTGAAACTTGGTGACATCAGGACAGTAGTAGGTGTTAGTGTGTGATGGTAAGGTTACAGTTAACATGTGGAAATATGTAACCAATTCTGAGATACATGATGGATATACCAACTCAGCCAGTGGTTTAGAAATTATTAGACATTATTATGTCATAGTTTAATTTGCAGTTTTTTCTTTCCCATAAAATAATGTTGCCTCTTTCAGTCCTTAGTGTTGAAATACATTAGGAATTTTTTGTATTCTTGATACTAACACCTGTTAATTATAGTAAAGTTGCTAAGTTAGAAATGAAAACCTATATAATATTATATATATATAATACTATATATATATATATATATATATATATATAGTCATAAATAGTTCCCTATTGAGGGTTAATTTAAAAATGTTTTCTGAATTAAAGTAACATTCTAAACAAACAAACAAAAGAAATGAAGGCCTATTAGTTTTATGTTGTAGTCTGTACCTGAGACCATTTTGTAGCCTGTGTAACTGCTGTTTTCTGCCACAGATTGCCTTCTCCCAGCACAGCAATTTTATGGACCTGGTACAGTTCTTCGTGACTTTCTTCAGGTAATTCCTCTCATACTAACTGTACTTATTCTTTTGAAGCAGCCCCTTAATTCCAGCTTGTTTGGTACAAATTCCTACAATGTTGCATATATTCACAGTAGTATAAATTTAATCTGACCTGATAAAGTAGTGTGTGTGTGTGTGTGTGTGTGTGTGTGTGTGTGTGTGTGTGGAGCTGATCCACAGTGTCCTCTTTCCCTGCAGTTGTTTCCTCTCTCTGCTCCTGGTGGCTGCGGTGGTTTGGAAGATCAAGCAGAGCTGTTGGGCATCCAGGAGGAGGGAGGTAAGCCCATGTAGACAAAAACAACAAATCCCCATGAAAACTCATTTCCTTTTCTTCTTTCTAGGCAATCACTTTTACCTGTTTAGTGGTTACTGGTATTCATATGAGAAGCATGCTGCTTCATTTGCTTTGTATGGCTCTGCTGTATGTCATCAGTAATTTCAATTATTATTGCATAAAATGTCATTAATTCTGCCACAGGCACAACCACTGCTTTATTTAACAGTCTTCTAAGAGCTTTTCATAAGAGTATGAATGAAGGGACAGGTTCACCTCAGTGATGGAGCACTTACCTAGCATAAACCTGAGGCCATTGGTTCTAGCCAGCATCATTCATTATGATTAAATGTTAGAGTTGGTACCAATAGAAACATCACCTAGACATTTGAGCACCTCTAAATTCCAGGCTCTGTTGCAGGTGGTGTTACTTAGACTAGCTTCTCTAATCTTCATCTCAAGCTTATGAGATAAGCCTCCCTCCCAGGCTCAGAGAGGTCAAGTAACTTATCCATTACCATGTAGCTACTGAGAGGCCTCTGCCCTCACAGCCCATGTTCCTAAACACAGTTAACTTTGTTCCACATGTTCCAGACTATATACTTAGGAATCTCGTGTTCTGCAGACTGAATGAGCCAGGCAACCCGTATGAGACTGTATATTAAAATTAAGAGTGGGAAAGCAGTTTTGTTACTGTTGGAAAGAAAACAAAATTATTTTCATGAGTTAATGAGACAGTATAGTAGAAATTTGTCTGCATACAAAATAGTACTTTAAGTATATGAAACTAAACAAATGGATAATACAGAAAGTTACAATCAACTGGAAAATATTTTCAGTATCATAAGAGAGAAAACTAGAAGGTGAACACCCTCTCAAGAAAGTTTTTGTTTGTTTGTTTTTTGTTTTTACTATGCTTAGGTTGTGTTCAAGTTGCTAATATACTTATCATTTACCCTTGACTTGGAGTTTCACTGTATCTCCAAACCTGACCATTCTAAATATACAAGGCCAGGCATGATTTGATCCCAGTCAGGGTGCTGTTCCTCATTCTTGTCTCATCTCAGGCCCTGATGGGAGTTCTTTCATCTGTCTTACCTCCTCTTGTGTACTCTTGGCAAAGGTTGTAGAATGGGAGTTGCAGTAAGGTCCTGTGACCCTGAACCTAGAGTGTCAGAGAAGCCAGACTAGGTTTGCTGTATATTTACTGAGTAAATGGAGATTCTTTCCAGGCTCAGAAAGAGATTGCTGAGATGAGGACATCAGTCAGGCCCTTTAATAGCTAACACTAGGAGGCTAGGATAGGTTATTTAGGAGCAACTCACAGAACAAAGAAAATTCCATATATATATATATATACACACACACACACACACACATACACACACACATATATGTGTGTATGTGTATGTGTGTGTGTGTGTGTGTGTGTGTGTGTATACACACACACACATTATAAGGGGGGTCAGCAGATTAGTGAAAGTATTAGGATATAAGGCATACTGGCTCCCCTCTAAGGGCAGCACCTATGAGTTAACAGTAAGAATCTATTGCTGGGTTTTAAGAAAAAAATTAACATAAAATTCCCTTCTAGAACAGAACGTCTATGTAGCCTCCGAACCCTGTGTCCTAGAAGGTGATTTGAAGCAAGGTCAATTTATCTTCCATGACATAACATCAGAAGATCTCTCATATTATTGGTGACATACCCATACTCCATATTTGAGGTGTATGCTGTAGTATCTGACTCAACACAAAAACACATTTCAAGCCATTTGTGGTTGAGTGAGATAGGAGTATAAGAAGTTTAAGGTCAGGCTGGAGAGATGGCTCAGAGGTTAAGAGCACTGACTGTTCTTCTAGAGGTCCTGAGTTCAATTCCCAGCAACCACATGGTGGCTCACAATCATCTGTAATGAGATATGGCGCCCTCTTCTGGCAGGCATGCATGCATGCAGAATACTATATACATAATACATAAATAAATCTTAAAAAAGAAGAAGTTGTTCAAGGTCATCCAGTGAATTAGAGGCCAGCCTGGGCTATATACACAAAGCACGTTTAAAGAAAAAATGGAAGCCTTGATACTTTGAACTGTACAAACATATTCACCCCTCCCTAAATCTAGAACCCTACCTGGTCTAGTCTGTGAGTCCATATTTATTTGTGTTTTCATCTTACATCTTTCTCAGGAGAGAGTAGTCTTGTAGTCTTGTATTCCCCCCCCCCTCTCTCTCTCTCTTTATTGTTGCCATTGCTCTGGGAATGGCTGGTTCAGATTTTGACACAAAGCAAGCTAGACAGACTTTAGTAACAGAAATATGAAGATATAAGTTTCTGTCCTTTTATGCATTCAACCAGAAGACACCATAACATTGTAGCTATCATGCTTTAAGCTTGTTTCTCTTTCTTACTGGGAAGGACTTTTTATAAAAATACAATAGTGTTACCACATCTGACAGAATTTAACTTTGTGCTACCTGGTGCCTAATTATGTCCAGTTTTTCTTACCTGTCACAGATTCAACAGTTTGAATCAGGGAGAATGCAGCATCTGTAATAACTAGTATTCCCAACTAAAAATCTCAGTGTACTGAACATATTAATACACACTATATCTTTCATTAGCAACTTCTTCGGGAGATGCAGCAGATGGCCAGCCGCCCCTTTGCTTCTGTAAATGTTGCCTTGGAAACAGATGAAGAGCCTCCTGATCTTATTGGGGGAAGTATAAAGGTAAGAAGTGATTTAAAAGTCCATACAACAAACTCAGGCCTGATCTGGCAAACCAGAGAGAGCAAAGTGCTCTGATGCATTGTACTCGCTTCATTCTCTCTGATAGTCAGCTACACTAAGGTTCTGAAGTACTCTTGCTCTCATTTTCCAGTTGTTGGATCATGCCATCAGTCAGTCATGTTCAGGAGATTTTAAACATGTAAATCATGCTTGTTATTCTTTCAGTGTTCTTTGGCATAATACTTAAAAGTTATTATTTGAAAATATCTAAACTGGGCTAGGTGTAGTGGCACACATCATTAATCCCAGCACTTAGAAGGCAGAGACAGGCTGTGAGTTCCAGGCCAGCCTGGTCTCTATACCTAGTTGCAGAAGAGCCAGAGCTTTAGAGGGCCCATCTTAAAGTGTGTATGTGTGGGGGGAGCAGCTCAATTTACTATTAATTACCCCCCACCCCACACACACTTTGGGTTTGGTTTTGTTGTTGTTGTTTGGTTTGGGGGGGGTTGTTTTGTTTGTATTTCAAGACAAGGTTTTGCTATGTAGCTCTGGCTGTCCTGGAACTCACTATGTTGACTAAACTGGCCTTGAATTTAGATATCCATCAGCTTCACAAGTGCTGGGATTAAAGGGATATGCCACCACACCCAACAAACCCAAGATCTTTTAAAAACTACTTATAGGGCTGAGAAAATGGCTTGGTAGATAAAATGCTTGCCACACCATTACGAGGAATGGAGTTCAGAGTCTCAGAGCGCAACTAAAAACCAGGCAGGTATGGTGACATACTTGGGAGGCAGAACAGGGTTCTTGGGGCAAGCTGACTGGCTAGACTAGCTGGAATTGGCAAACTTCAGGGTTAGCAAGAAATCCTGATTTAGTAAGGAAGACCTCCATCTGCACATGTACATGCATACCTACACATGCACTTGTACACACACCATACATCACAACATTTAGAAGTTGGAATCATTGTGCACTGTTGGTAGACAATAAAATGATGTAGCCACTAGAAAATGGTAGTCTGGGCATGGTGGTTACATGCCTGTAATTCCAACACCTGGAGTGTAGATACAGGAGAATCACCATAAATTCAAGACCAACCTGGGCTACCAAACAAAATTTTGTCTCAAGAAAACAAAAACAATGCAAAAATGTAACATGGAGGGATTATTTTTATGCCAGTGTTCATGACAGCACATTCATAATTGCCAGAAAGGAAAAGCAATTGAGTACCTGTCTGTGGGTGCATGCATAAGCAAGTGTAATGAATTGCTACTAGAAATTATTTATGCTTTAAAAGGAAGAAAAGTCTAATATTTGCATGGATAAACTTAAGAAATTGTGTTAATGAAAAGACGCTGTATCATTCCACTTATGTAAAATATCAAGACTAATCAAATACAGTGAGACAAAATAAAATAGTTACTGCCAGAAACTTGAAAGAGGAAACCAAGGAGCTGTTGTTTAATAAGTAGTTCAGAATTTCAGTTTTCTAGTTTGCAACATTAAAAACAGTCTGAAGATGGAGAAAATATAGCTAGAACACACTTCCATTTTACTTTTTTTTTTTTTTTCATTATGAAGGGTTGATCAGGTAGCATGCATGAAGTCCCTAGATAGGTTCAACAGAGAGAGAATGAATCTTATTAGTAATAACAAAGCCATCTCACAAGCCTGTAAAATGCTTTTTAAAAAAATAAAGTATGCAACAGAAAATGAATAAATTTTCCAGGGCCAAAGCATCCAGTAAGTGGATGAGGAATCCATTTGGTGGGCTGTCTACCTTTCACAAGCTCTCAAACCCAACAGGCTATGACTTAGTGAATGAAAGATGCCTGGATAAGCTTGACTCTAAAACAGACAATGCCTCCTGAACATCAAGATCTGTTTGTGCAGGACTATCCACAGATCACCAGACACACCCTGCCATCCCAGCCACCTAGAGAGGGCCCACTCACATGGGCCCTTCCCTGGCACTCATGTGGCTCTTTGAAACAGTGCTACCATAGCCAAAATCGTTGACCTTGTAAGAGCCTAACTCTAAAGTGTGGGGTCAGTGAAGGTACTTCCTTGTTTTCTTCCTCCAGACTGTTCCCAAGCCCATTGCCCTGGAGCCCTGCTTTGGTAACAAAGCTGCAGTCCTCTCTGTATTTGTGAGGCTCCCTCGAGGACTGGGCGGAATCCCTCCTCCTGGTCAGTCAGGTGAGTAGATGGCAGTGACAAGTCCTGGTCTGTGAAGGAGCAACACCTGACATTTCTCCCTGGCAAAGAATCTGGGTGTGGGGCTCTGCACAGCAGTGTTGTCTCTGGCACAGAGCTTTGGTGGGATAATCCCATAGTCCCTAAGCTGTGTTCTGAGCACTGACATTTCCATCCTGGGGTGGAAGTCCAGGACCCTTCTCACAGTGCACAGCTTCAGACCACACCTCCTTCTATACCCAGTATTTTCGGATCCCTTCTCTCTATCGCTCCCTGGCTTTAAAACAAAACAAAACCCTTGTTCTTACTTTAGACTTTCTCCTCCTTCATATGCTCTTAATCATCTCTATGACCCTGGCTTTTGGCCATGTCTTCAAATTTTGGTTGCCCAAGTAGATATGTCTAGCCATGATCCACATCTTGCTTAAGGTCTTGCTATGCAGCCCAAGCTAGACTAGAACTCATTACATAGCCCAGGATATCCCTCAAACTCATAGTTATTCTCCTACCTCAGCCTCCAGAGTACTAGTGTGGCTTCCTCACTGTATACCAGACACTTGTCCCTGCTTCCTCCTTCCATTACAGGCCCAATAGAGCGGCTTAACAAACTTACTCCTCTGCTCATTAAAGCAGCCTTGGTAGAGTGCTGAATGTGGACTGGCTACTTCTTCCAGTGTTAGAATTCCAACTTTTCTACCATCTTAGTTAAGGTTTCTATTGCTGTGAGAGACCCCATGACCACGGTAACTCTTAACAAAGAAAAACATTTAATTGGGGTGGTTCCCTTTCAGTTCAGAGGTTCAGTCCGTTATCATCAAGGCGGGACATGCAGCATGCAGGCAGACATGGTGCTGGAGATGTAGCTGAGAGTCCCACATCTTATAGGCAACAGGAAATGGTCTGAGACACTGGGTGGTATCTCGATCATATATAAGCCCTCAAAGCCCACCTCCCCAGTAACAGACTTCTTCCAACGAGACCACACCTACTCCAACAAGGCCACACCTCCTAATAGTGCCACTCCCTTTGGTGGCCTTTTTCTTTCAAACCACCAACCTGGAATGCTAACTTCCCCGCCAAATGCCAGGTATTGTGTCAGTGCAAAAAGGACAAGCCAGTAGAGGCACTGGAAGTGTTTGTGAGAGTAAATGGTAAGGTTCTGGTCATTGTCGTGTTCTCGGAAGCATTACATCAGTTAGTTATTTGAGTCCAAACACAAGCTGTGTAATGTTCTTACCCCAGCCCCATTTCACACATAAGGAAACTGCCATATGGGAGGTTAAAGAACCTGGACCGGGACACTGTATTGAGCACCGCCCGTGGTCAATATAAGACAAGTTGCCCTGAATGGTGAGAAGGCTCCGCCCAACAAGTCACTCATCTCCAGGCTTCACAGGCCAGATCTAGATCCCCAGAATTCACGAGGTAGAAGGAGAAAGCCAACTTCTGAAGGTTGTCCTCTTCTTCACATGTACAGCGTGGTTAACACACGCACGCACGCACGCAAGCACACACAGAGAGAGAACATTAGTAGCTTCTGCTGAGCCAGTGATGCAGGGTGAGTCACATCTCTCTGTGAACTGGTGCTGTTTTCCTTGCCTCCTTCTGGAAGCTGCAGAAGAAGGTACACATCCACTGTGTGACTGCATTTTCATTCACTGCTTCTACCCTGAGGCAGAGCACACTGCTCCTGTGACCTCCTGTGGAGGAAAGGACAGTGAGTGGTTAGTTCAAGAACATGGAGCTGAAACCATTACCTAGATGGAAAAGGGAAGATGGAATGGAAGGACTCCTATGAATACCTTTCTTTATCTTTCACCATGAAAATGTAAAAGGAAATTTGAAATTATTTTTTAAGTAAGATCCTTCATAACATTTGTCCCCTCTTGTGGGTTCTTCCAAGGTCTTGCTGTGGCCAGTGCCCTGGTGGACATTTCTCAACAGATGCCAATAGTATACAAAGAGAAGTCAGGAGCAGTAAGAAACCGGAAGCAGCAGCCCCCTGCACAACCTGGAACCTGCATCTGACATGGGGCCAGGGACTCTCCCTCACAGAGGGGCATTTGGCCCAGCAAGCTGTCACAGGAGAGGCAGGTGCAGGCAGGAAGTAGGTGCAGAGCAGAAGACTGGAAACCCTTGAAGCATCCACCTCATGTGCATGATCATACAAGCTGTTTTGATGGTTCATCCCTCTGTGTCCAGCATCTAACCTGTTACTTTTGCATAGGAATAATTTAATTACAAGTCCAGGAATGAGGCTGCTCTACTCATGGGTGGAGGAGACCAGCATAGAACCAGTGAGAGCTGCAAGTGATGCTGAGGTCCCTTGTGGAAACTCCTCTTGGGAGTCTCAACTGCAGAAGTGATGAGCTCTGTCCAAAGCTCTCCAGCATAGTCTTCGACACTCCTCAGATGAATTGTTCTCATCTGAAGCCTGCTATCTTTTTACAAGATGTGCTTTCACTCTCTTCCAGGAAGTAGCTATTTTCTAGCTGAGAATTAATAATAATGGTCTGTCTCTTTGGAAGTCATATCAAAGTAAAATTGATGGGGGCCCTTGTTTTGTTTTGTTTTGTTTTTTTTTTGTTTGTTTGTTTTTTTTTTTTTTTTTTTTTTTTTTTTTTGGAGACAGGGTCTCACTGTGTAGCCCTATCTGGCCTGGAACTCACTATGTATATCAGGCTGGACTGAACTCACAGAGATCCACCTGCCTCTGTCTCACAAGTGCTGGGATAAAAAGTGTGCACCACCAGGCCCAGCAAAGGGGGCTATTTTAAATGTTAAGGTCAATTGTGTTAGACTGTAAACAAATGTAAAAGATAATTCTCTATAGCAACTTGAATAATTTAATTTTAATTCATTCTTTCCTTCTCTTTCTCTTACTCTGTCTTACACACATGCTCATGTACGTATACACACACACACACACACACACACACACACACACACACACACTAAGTGCCTAGACTTTAAGTAGATCTAGCAATTGGAAAGTTAAGAAGCCTACGTTTTTACATGATTATATTCCTACATTCTTGTAAAATTTAAGTAACTACCATTGCAGTTTGTTCTTTTTCTAAAGTCTAATTTGCAGCCAGCAAAAAATTCTCATCCCAAGAAACATTTAATAGGGTCTAGCAATAGGAACTGAATGATTCCCAGCCCCAGCCTAGTGTCACTTAAGTCTGATGCTTGGTCAGCCCTCTGGCTTCCTCTCCTAAGGCGCACAGAAATGTACTCCCACATATCATGTGCCTCTTTGAGCAGAGAAGAGCACTGAGTGTGGGGCACTTGACTCTGTCTCCCTGCAGCCCACTCTCTCTGAGCCTGTGGTTCATCTCCAGATTGGATGGAGTAAACACTAGAAGAGGATGATGCCTTGCACTGGGGCAGCATTTGCTCAGAACCTGAAAAGGGGCCAGGTTCCCTCTCCCAAGTGGGGGGTTGGCCCAGCCTCCTCCCAGACCCAGCTGGTGGCTGTGGGGAGGAAGTGAATGTGAAAAGCACATAGAGAGAATGGAAGGGACAAAACTCTCTTCCAAACAGAAAGTGACCACATTAAGAGGGGTGAATGACCCTCTAGTCTGAGCCCCAGGATCCTGCCTGGACACTGCATTTCCCCACTTATGGTGCTCAGTAGTCCGGCGTTATGCAGCAGCCTCACACCTTTCTTCTCCTGATACATATCCTGTGATTCTGCTGTTACCTGACTGGAATAGACCTCTAGGCAGCAATGCTCAAATTTATGAATTTGGAGAAGTTAACACTCAAAAGAACAAAAGCTGCAGCGTTTCCCCTTTAAACGCAGTGCTGAGAAGGGAGGCATCTCTCTAAGGCGAGCACTAACCCCATTCCCACCAAGACGCTCCTGGGGAGATATTTCCAAGCTGAATCATAAAACACTGATGCACAAAACACTGCTTTTTTATGTCATTACTAAAGGACAGAAAGTTCCAGAAAAGATCCCAGTCTCATTCCCTATGCAGTTAAGAGCTCACCACATCCCTACCAAAACCCAGCACCTATAAGCATCTGCAATGCTTGATCCCCATAATTACCCAAGGGACTCTTAGCCACAAAGGAAAAAAAAGAGGAGGAGGAGGAGGAAAGCCCCACTCGGGTTTGTCCTTTAAGGAAATTTTCCCTGCTTTGCTCAAAGGACCAAATTTCTTTGGCCAAAGAAGTTGCTTCTATGTTAGTCCCATACCTTGAAATATATGTGCCGTGGCTCCCGCCTACCTGCTTATGGTTTTGTTCCCCGTAGATACTGTTTATTCTTTGTAAAGGAAGAAGCAAGCGGCATTTAACTCTGCTCCAGCAGTGGAGAAACCGCCGACTTCACCTGGGTCTCCTGTATAGCCCACAGCTCCCTTCAGGCTGGAAGCAGAAGGGAGTGGCAGGGAGGAAGAGCTCAGCTCAGAGCCAGTTACCAGGAAGGAGTGGCGTGACCCAGTAACTGTCTTGAGAGAGCATGTATATAAAAGTCATGAAGACACTGACCTTGCACTTGTACATAACTATAAAGTAGTGTCCAGAATGTCAGACATTCAGGGTGTACATAAAACAAAAGTATCATAATGTATTTTTACTAAGCATTAACATTTTCACCTAATCTGTTTCTGTGCCATGTACTGGGTATCCAAGCTCTGAGAAGTTATCTTACCAGGCCCTGATCCATTGATAAGGCCACACATTGTACCACCATGCTGGTGTGTTCAGTAGCCTTGTGCTCATTAGGTATCTAAATAATGATTCAGCTCTCAGAATATGTAGGAAGAGAGCAAGCATGGTGACTCGCAGCTGTGGTCCTACCTAGCATTCAGAAGATAGAGGCAGGAAGATTAAGAATTTAAAACTGGGGGCTGGAGAGACGGCTCAGTGTTTAAGAGCACTGGCTGCTCTTGCAGAGGACACTGGTTCAGTTCCCAGCACCTACATAGTGGCTCACAACCAGTTGTAATTCCAGTTTCAGATGATCCCATGCCCTCTCTGGCCTCCTCGGATGCTGCACACATGTGTTGCATAGGAAACATGCAGGCAAAACACCCAGTACACATAAAACACAAATAAAGAAAGAACCTGGGCTACATAGCAAGAGCCTATTTCAAAACAAACCTATGAAGAGCCAGACAGTGAGTCCGTTTACACAGCAGTACATGAGAGAACTCAGGAAGCAAGAGTGTTTATCACTTTTGTGCATTTCAAATGCTCCTTGTGACTTCTGGCATCTCTGTGGAGTGACCAGTCTGGTCTTGATGAGTTCTGTTACTTTGCAAAGGGGCTCTAGGCCGTATTCTGTTGTAGCTTTGTCAAAAAATTTAATGACATTTCTGAGAACCATCTTCTTTTTATACTAAAATCTGGGAACCCCATTTGTTAATAAATAGCACCATTTCCCTACGCCTCAGCCTCCTGTCCGCCTCCTGGTCTTCCTTCCCTGGACAGGGGTCTGAAAGGTCCAAGGAGATGTGGCAAGAAAGCAACCCATTGCCTCCTGGGCTAACCTGTAAGAAGACTGGCAGCAAAAGAAAAATACCAGAATACCTGGAAGGCTTGAAGTGTAAGATGGGATCTCATTAGTGAATTGGACAAACAAGAGCAGAGCATCCTGGGTAGGAGATGCCACAGCCTGCCAATGCCCATCCTCCTTCAACATAGTGGAGTGAGTGTATAGGGTGGGAGTCAGTCACTTCCTTGGGGGGGGGGTGCTGTTTTTATGAGCACCTTTGATCCTTGATATCCTTTAACTGAACAAATACTAAACACTTCTGAGCTAAGCTAACATTATTGCAGCGACTGGGATGAAAATGCAGCTCTTTGGACACAGCTGTCACCCTAGTGGAGCTTCTTGGGGTGAGCCCTGGCTCCCTGAGGAAATCTGAAGAGTTGATCCTGGTCACACAGCCCCCAACAGAGCTTTGGATTGAGATGTCAGCATGGCCTCTGGTTGAGCAGAGCCTCTGGAGCGAGGCACCTGTCTGCAGGGGACCCTCAGGGTGCCTTCTTAAGTGCAGAGAAACTGGCACCTTCTCTCCTGAAGGTTAAAAAAAAAAAAAAAAACGGAAGTTGCTCTCAGACCTGGACTCTGCACAAAACACTAGTAAAGCCTGCTGAACTAATTCGGCCTCTAGAAATGTTTTATGGTTATTTACAGTTCATTGTTTTGATCCAAGCTTAGTTTGTTAATATGTGTAATTTAGCATCTGTTGCACTTGTGTAAATATGGAGTAAGTATTGTAAACTATTTAATTGCTGGGATTGTTGGTGTTATACATACATTTAGGACTGCAATTTTTGGTATTTTTTGTATTGTAAAATAACAGGTAATTTAATCAGGAACGAAAATTAAGGGGGGTCTGCATTTTAAATGCAAATGTGAAGCACTTGTATATAAACAAGAGTAAATACTATAATACAAAACTCCTTCTGAAATAAAAGTAGATCTGGTAAAAACGTGGGTTTTGTTCTGAGTGTTTAATGCTAATGCTGATTTTGTTTTATTCTGTATTTACATTGTATTCGGTATATTAGCAGTTGAGGGGACAAAGACAACTATACTTACCACCCTCAGCAGCCTGAAGAGTTCCCCTCTATTAGGGACTGCAACTCACAATTACTCACAGTACTGAAAAGAATTTCACGATTAACATGAAGCATTGTTTAGTAAGGAATGCAAAGACTACTTTTAATATTTATTTGCATCTGTGTATGTGGGTGAGCACAGCATTCATGTGGAGGGCAAAGCAAAACTTATGGAAATTGTCCTCCATCTGGGGCCTGAAAATCAAACTGAAGAGTCTTAGTGGCAGGCACCTTTACCTAATGAGCCATCTCTCCAGCCCAGGATATTTTAAAATATTGCTTATTGGGGGGAGGGATGCATGTGTCAGAGGACAACTCTTGGGAATCAGTTCTCTCTTACCCTGTAGAACTGGAAATAAAACTCAGGTCAGACTTAGCAGTGAATATCTTTAGCCAGGAGCCATCTCGTTGATCTGATGAGGATATTTTAGTAATAGGCTTAATTAAGCACAGGGGTGCTGGGCATGATGGTACAAGCCTTTACCCCAGCACTTGTGAGGCAGAAGCAATCAGATCTCAGAGAACAAGGCCAGCCTGGTCTACATAGCAAGTTCCAGGACCGCCAGGGCCATATAGATAAGACCATGGCTCCCTCACCCTACCCCATTCCCAAAGTAACTTTAGGGGTTATGGAGGATTGCTGAAGAGCAGCGGAGTAGGCTTCTCAAAGAAAAGCTATAGAAAGAAGATAGACCAGATGTGGGTACAGACTTGTGAAAAGAGTCACAGCTAATTGGGTTTGGTTTGGTTTGTTTGGGTAGTGGTAGCTGTTGGTTGGTTGGCTCCTTTGGCTTTTACAGTACTCATGCAGGACTTTGGTGAACTTCTAGGGGTGAAGAAACAGCATGAGAGACCATCAAGGAGTTGCTGAGAGGCACCTAACAGGGATTATAGGCAACCATGTATGTGTTTTCTTTGGGCTAACAGCTCATAAAAAATGGCACGGAGACTTATTAATTATGAAACTCGGCCTATAGCTTAGGCTTGTCGCACTAGTTCTTATACTTTAAATTAACCCATATCTTTTATTTATTTATTTTTCTTATTTTACATATCAATCCCAGTTCCCTCTCCCTCCCTCCTTCTATCCTTCCCTTCCTCCTTCTCTCCCTCCCTCCCATGCCCCCCCCACCATCACCCTCTCATCTCACCCCCCCACTCCACAGGGAGGGTGGTACCTTCCAGGAGGGGTCAACAAAATCTGTCAAATCATTTGGAGTAGGGACTTGGCCCTCCCTCCTGCCTCTG